CGATTTTTCTCTGCTCTAACTGCAAACATCGCATAATTCATGAATTTTTTATATTCCAAGAGAAATTTCTATGTCATATACTCAAATTCCCCGAACGCTGTCAGGGAATGTACACATTCCCTGATTTCCTACATTCCCTGTAACATATATATCTATATACACACCATGATCATATGATACTATGTCCAAAAAAACAAGGACATAGGCGATCTGATTGTCGCATTTGTCTATCGTCTTTGGTGTGTTTCGGATGTCTGCTGTGTCAAGATTAGAGCGTTCGGTCCAAGAATATTACCAGAATTTATACAAATATTTTTACCTTTGTGTGTTTATTTGTTCGATTGACGTACACGTGATAGCGGAGAATGAGAAAAGAGCTGATGTTCGACATGAGTGACGGGCACACATACCGCCTCTATGTAGAGTGTTTGATGACATTAAGAAGAACGTAGGCTAAACACTTTTTTAAAGTTATAATTTAGCAACCGTTCGACTTTCCAATTACTTCATATCTCTCTTTCTCTCTCCCTCTCTCTCATTCAGTCTCGTTCAATTCACGCGAAAGTTTAAAGTAAGTTGAATAAATGACTTTTTTTCATAACAGAAAATGCTTCTTACAGAATGGAAAATCTATTGAACAGCACAGCAATAAGATAATAATAAGAGTCATTATTTGATGTGTGTGTCAAATGAAAACCGTAGTTTTTAAGTTTGTTTTTGTATCTTGGATTAATGGAAAAGATCGAAACTGTATAAATATAAAAAGTGATGTGTCATCCGTACTGGACTAACTAGCGATCTTTGATGAGGAAAATGAATAAGGAAATGATGAGTTGAATATAAAGAGATTAGGCAAATTGAAAGTCTAAACGGCAACGATTTGTTTAATTACAAAGTTTCCATACTTTTTTCCGTCCATTCTCTTTTAATTGCGTCTCTGAATTCCATATAATCCATATCAGATATAGGATTAAAATGATTTATTGATTTTCCATCGTTGTTTATATAATCAAAATATTCATAATGTTTTGTATCTTCTTTACCATACTGATAACATTGTAACGTTATACAACATCGATCACTAACATTGGATACTTGATGTGTTTGATTTAATTTTGGTAACATCCATGTACTCTCATTTTCATGTAAAAGACGTTTTATAAATGGTTTTTGATTTTTTATATTTAACGATTGATATAAACTAATCAATATTTCATTGTATAAAATACGTATTATACCATACGAATTTCCATGATTATGAATTGGACTATAATGTCCTGCTGGCCAAACTTCAAGAACATATGGTATACCCGGTGCATTACCAATATTTTTACCCAATGTTATTCTTAAATATGTTGCTTTTAAATTTGGCTTACCAAAACGATTTGCTTTTTCATGTAATTTTTTATAACATAGACCATTTGAATTTTGAATACTTTGTTCAATAGCATTAATAAATTGTGGGAAATCATCATTATTCAATTTAAAATTACTTATATATGAATATAATATACGACACGGTTCAGCTAAAACGGATGCCGGTATACCTCTTGGATTAACAATATCTTCAACAGTTGTAAATTGTGTTTCGGATAAAATTAATAATGGTGGATCATCAACAACCGGTTCCGTTCCAATATAAACTTTTATTTTACTTTGTAAATATTTTAATTCATTTAAATTAATATTATTATTTAATTTTATATGCATATATTTAATTTGTTTTAAATTTTTTTGATCATTTTCGTTAAAATAACATTCTATCACTCTACAATGGTGTCGAATTTCACCAGTACCATATTTAACAAATAGATTATTTGAATCTAAACTAAACCAATAAATATTATATGGTATTTCTTCACCGTTACTTTGTGTATCTAATACACCATCATCATCAATAGATTCTTGTAATAATGTTGTTTCATCATTTATTATTTTACTTATTGTTACTTTTTGATCATTGACAATCAATAGAATACCAAAAAAATCATCATTATCATTTGAATTTGAATTTTCTGTATTCGTTAACAAGAGTTCGAATGGCACTGGCATTAATTGAATAATTTCAATTGTTCCTTGACCTTTCAATGTTAAATTTTTTGTACAACTATTGGATTTCCACGGACACCAATTTTTATTTGGTTGTGAAAAATGATTTACTTTTGGATCATTGTCATCATCATTTATACGAAGAATCTTTTGAAACCGTAAACCATATTCAACTATATCGTTTTGAAATTGTACTAACAATTTAATTGGATCATTGTAAACATCGGTTATTTTGTCAAAATTTAATGACCATTGTTTATTTTTTGTGATATTTTTACAATAAATATAGACAGAATGTAATTGTATCAAATTATGTAACTCAGGTATCATTTCTTCACCAAAACGTCCAGTAACTATTAAAAATATTTTTTTTCTTGGACTTCCTTTTATATAATCGGCACAATGCTCATGATTATCAAAATAAAGCCATGATTCTGGTTCAACGAGGGGATTATTAAAATAATATCGTTTAAATTCGTTGTGATCATTACATGTAGGATCAAGCCATATTATAACTAAATTTGGAATTCTTTGATTTTCTTTTTTCGTTGTTGCTGACATTCCTATAATTATTAAACGAGAAATTTATCAAAACTATTTGATTTTCAAATAAAAACTCTCTCTGCTCTATTACTAATTAAAGCAGCTATCTTCGATCTGTTTCTAAAATTTCAAGAGATTTAGAAAACAAGCGAAGGAAATGGCAACTGAGTCATTGAGATCACATTCAAACGTTCAATAGAACATTGGACCAACTCTTCGAAAAATAGTTGTTTCGATTACGTAGCATTACTAGAAGAAAAGTTAATATTGTATAGGCGACTTGTATCTTGAGTTTTTCAACCCTATAACTCAGCTGTAGACATCAAGCATACCGTTTTCATTTTTTGTCCCTATATTGAGTACGGTGGAGTAATCACGATCAGGTCTTAAAACTTTCGTCGTATTTCTGCTATAGTTCGTTCAGTTCTCATTAAGACAAAGGGATATTTTATAAGTAAACAGCGGCGACTCGTGGCTATCGATCGGTATAAAAATTTTCTTAAAATTCATTAGCGTTAATTAATGTAAACCAATTTCCTGCGAGTCCTCATCGAATAACCATCCATCCACACAGCTAAAATGACTGGCATAACCTTAAAACAACTTGATTTCAACGGTGAACTTTTGGCTCTTCAATTAAAGTTAGTCTGTCTTGTAGAGACTTTCAAGCTCTATCATCTGCATAATTTTGGTGAGGGTGGATTGATGACTGTTTTGTTCGTCACGTACTTCAAACGTACTATGTTCGAACCTCGCCGCTAGCAAAGTCATGTAATAACCTTGGGCAAGTTACTTATACCTTAGTGCCTCGGATCATCCGTCTGATAGCATACCTACTGCGTTGTGAAATACAATACAGCTTATCCGACTAGTCCTTTATGGCTTTCCGAAAAGCTAGTATGTGATTAGTGAAGTGTGGAAGTAATTAGGCTACAGAACTTTACGTCAGGCTAGCCTTCTGGCCAGACCTGCAATTGATGACTAGTAACAAGATGGATGATCGTTTCAAAAGCTTGTCAACTGCAGGAAAGATATCGGACTATTGAAATTGCCACAGCAGCACCTTACACCGGTAACGGTAGCCGCAAGGAGAGGCATTCGTCCTTCTTCCTGCATGATTTGCGTTTCATTCAGACTTATTGTTAATTAATTAACGGCCATTCCAAATGTAATGCATTTACTCTTTTCTTCTGTCCGCGACGTTTCTTCAAAGGCAAAAGACCTTGAGAGCTTGCTTCTACTACAGAATTGTACAAGACACTTAGCTCTACCAACATTGAAGGAGAGATGAAATGCCTAGCGTAACGGACTTACAAAAAACAGTCGCTAAACTTTTCACTTTTCTAGGCTACTACAAAGTTCACTTCTGTTTTAGAAAATAGTGACTTGGTTATTCCAGGAATAATCATTTATGATTAGCCTTGCTAGAAATAGTGTAAAAACTTCAAGGATACTGCACTTCTAGCCAACGCTTTTCTGCCGAATCTTTGGAAAATAATATGTGCGAATTATGCGCCCTATTTCTGTAAATACTTTTCAGCAAAACTGATCGAAAACAATTGCTTCGATTATCTCAAATGTGCTTTAGTTTTAGGATGGAATTTGAAGCAACTGATTTTCGGTGCGTTTGGTTCAAAAATCAGTAATTCTGGAAACGTACTTTAAAAAAACTCATCATTGCTTATCGGACATATCTGAATTCTGCACTATGTACAAAACTAAAAGCTCAATAAAAGTATGCATTACACCTAAGTTTATCATAGTTCCATCGTGATATAAACACAAATACGGACCCTCTCAATGACAGACAGACCCTCTCTTTCTATGTCATACGGGCCAACATGTAACAGTAAAAAGAAGCTGTTTCTGCAGTCTCGGAAACTAATAAGAGTCTAGTCTTTTTATTAAAAATTTCCTAACACACAAACGTCGCAATCCCAGATCAACAATTTGTAAAAAAAATAAAAAGTTGAAGATGATATTTTTTTTGTACAACTGGCCTGCCGTAAGTCCGTTACACTTTTTCTCATGAAAGAAAAAAGTTTAGTAGAATTCAATAAATGAGTTGGATAGTCCGTCAAAAGTTGTCATTACACAGAAATTTTGAGCCGCCAGGGACGTATCGTTCTGGAGAAAATTTTAATATGTCCTATTTTCGCAGCGAACTTACAAGAGAATCGGTCAAGTTTTCTGATCTTCCGTCTAAACAGTAAAAAGGCTTTATAAAATAGGAAAGCATTACAGGACCTAGTCTGGCTTGCTCTCTTTCAGATAAGATATTCAGGACAGCCACAGATCTCAAAGTGAGTGCTGCTGGATGTAAACAAAAATGTGTGTGACATATGGTAAGAAACGAGGAGTCATCGTCCAACTCTTACGTTTCCAATAAGGTGCTCCAAATTCAAAATTATAGTACTATTTTATTTTTGGCTTAGTCATACATCATTCGATAGAGAATTTAACGCTGATCAAGAGTATCCGGTCTTTAGTCTTCCCAGTTCACATTATCAGTGAAAAAAATTCAAAAAACTTGAACAATCTTTTCTTTCGAAAAATCATTAACTTTTTTTAAAAACTAAATAACTTGGTTCCGCCTCATTTCCAAGCCGTGAAACTATGTTTTTCTTATTCAGCTCTGAAAACTGCAT